AAAAAAAAAAAAAAAAAGAAGTGTTATTTTTTTTTTTTTGAGGCAGAATCTCACTCTGTTACCTTCAGTAGAGCGCTGTGGTATTACAGCTCACAGCAACCTCAAACTCTTCTGCTTAAGCGATTCTCTTGCCTCAGCATCCCAAGTAGCTGGGACTACAGGCACCTGCCTCAACAACTGGCTGTTTTTTCTTTGTAGTTGTCATTGTTGTTTGGCAGGCCCAGGCTTGATACGAACCCGCCAGCTCTGGTGTATGTGGCTGCTGCATTAGCTGCTTGAGCTATAGGCATGGAGCCAGAAGTTTTATTCCTTGTTTAAATTTTTACCCAACTATATTTTGTATATCTCTAATATACAAAATATCTTTAAGTGTATAAGAATTAGGATGGGACTATTTTAAGTTGGGAATATTTGAATAGTTGATAAAGGACATTTTTAAAATGTATGTACATTTCAAACTGCTTCACCCAAAATAAACATCTTTAAAAAATTTTTTTTGAATAGGTATTGTCGGCATGTGCTCTGTGAAACTGTTCGGACTGCCAAATTGACCCCACTTTCTGCCCGACTTCAAGATATTGAAGGAAAAATTGACCAATTTATTATTCCCAGAGAGGTAGAAAATATTTGATATATTTAATAACTCATTTAGTTATTCTTCTCAATTCTTTTGACGTTTACAGTGCCCAATAAATGCTACCCATTATAAATCAAAGCCACAATCCTTTTAATTACAAAATAATTACTATCTGTTTTGATGTTCAAACAATGTAAACGTCTTTCTTCCCCACAGGTACTATTTTCAGCACTTAACTACGTATTTTGGAGACCTATTCCTATGTATATTATTGTGTATAAGTGTATACATACATATATATACTTGATATCCAACTTTTTTTGTTGTTGTTGTTGTTGAGACAGAGTCTCACTATGTTGCCTTGGGTAGAATGCCATGGTGTCACAGCTCACAGCAACCTCAAGCTCTCGGACTTAAGGGATTCTCTTGCCTCAGCCTCCCAGGTAGCTGGGACTACAGGCGCCCACCACAACACCTGGCTATTTTTTGTGTTGTTACTGCAGTTGTTTAGCTGGCCCAGGCCAGGTTCGAACCCACCACCCTCAGTGTATGTGGCTGGTGCCATAACCACTGTGCTACGGGCGCTGAGCCCCAACTTATTATTTTCAATGGCTACTTAATATCTCATTGTATGAACCTACTATTATTTATATAAGCAATTTCCACTAATTACAATTTATGTTATTTTTTAATTTTTTTTTTTTTTTGGAGACAGTGTTTCGCTTTGTTCCCCATGGTAGAATGCCATGCCATCATAGCTCACAGCAACTTCAAACTCCTGGGCTCAAATACTCCTCTTTCATCAGCCTCCCAAGTAGCTCGGACCAGAGATGCCAGCCACAACGCCTGGCTGTTTTTTAGAGATGAGATGGGGTCTCACTCTTGCTCAGGCTGGTTTCCAATTTCTGAGCTTAAACAATCAATCCACTTGCCTAGGCCTCCTGGAGTCCTAGGATTACAGGTGTGAGCCACCACGCTGGGGCCCCACGAATGAAAATTTAAATTGGCATTAATTTTTTATTATCACAAATTATATATGTACTTACTTGTATAGGTATACTTACTTATAAAGTCTTTTTTTTTTTTTAGAGACAGAGTTTCACTTTATTGCCCTCGGTAGAGTGCAGTAGAGTCACAGCAACCTCCAACTCCTGGGCTTAGGCGATTCTCCTGCCTCAGCCTCCTGAGTAGCTGGGACTACAGGTGCCTGTCAGAACGCCTGGCTATTTTTTGTTGGAGTTTGGCTGGGGCGGGGTTTGAACTTGCCACCCTTGATATATGGGGCTGGCGCTCTACCCACTGAACCACAGTCACCACCCTACTTATAAAGTCATAAAAATGGAGTTTGGGGGTCATAGTCCATGTGGATATTTTATTGAAATTATCCTCTAAAAGGCAGTTCCTACTTTTAACAACAATGTATGAGAATGCTTTTTCTCTCCAAATCCTTACTATCTCTAGAGTTTTGAATCTTATATATATTTTGTGAATAGTTTGCTTTTCCCTGATCATTGAAGCTATTGAACAACTCTTCATACCTATATTAATAGTTCGTATTTTTTCTGTTGTGAATTATCCTTTTTTTTTGAAACAGAGTCTCAGGCTGTTGCCCTAAGTGGAGTGCCATGGCATCACAGCTCACCGCAGCCTCAAACTCTTGGGCTCAAGTGATTATCTTACCTAAGCCTCCCAAGTAGCTGGGAATATAGACACCCGCCACAACACAGGGCTATTTTGTTGTTGTTGCAATTGTCGTTGTTTGGCAGGCCTGGGCTGGGTTCAAACCCACCAGCCTTGGTATATGTGGCTGGCGCCCTACCCAATGAGCTACAGGTACAGCCCCCTGTGAATCATCTCTTTGTAATTTTCCTTGTTCTTTCTAGTAAGCATAATTATCTATGTCTTTTTATGTGTTATCCAAAATACTGTCAGTTATATGGCATATATTTTTTCCTGTCTTTTAGTTATCTTTTACTGTTGTTTATGGTGGGGTTCTTGTCTGATTGTTTTAAATTTTCATAAACTTAAGTCTAGGGCTGGTGCCTGTGGCTAAGTGAGTAGGGCGCCAGCCCCGTATACCAAGGGTGGTTGGTTCAAACCCAGCCCTGGCCAAACTGCAACAAGAACAACAAAAAATAGCTGGGCGTTGTGGTGGGTGCCTATAGTCCCAGTTACTTGGGAGGCTGAGGCAAGAGAATCACCTAAGCCCAAGAGCTGTAGGTTGCTGTGAGCTGTGATGCTACGGTACTCTACTGAGGGCGATAAAGTGAGACACTGTCTCTAAAAAAAAAAAAAAATAAAGTTAAATCTGTTTCTCCCTTATGACTTCTAGATTTTGTGACATGTTTGGGGATGGCTTCCCCATCGTAAGATCAACAAAATGATGATCTGTCTTTTCTTCTTTTATTTTATATTTTTATTTCATTTTATTTATACAAAAAGCACTTTAGGATGAGTTGACTTTCTAGAAGTATTTTGTCTCTCTTAGGCCTTGTCTAACTTGACTGATTTTTTTTTTCACAGACCCTCGTCCTTTATGCCCTTGGTGTGGTACTTCAGGATCCTAATACTTGGCCATCACCACACAAGTATGAATTATCTGTCATTGTTTTTGTGATTGTTGATTGTTATGTGTGTGTTTGTTTTGCTTTCCTTTTCTAAGATTTGAGGAGAAGATTCAATTTGTGGCAGTGATATAAGAAAAGGAAGCCCCTTTCTGCTTTTTCTCTCTCTCTCTCTCTTTTTTTTTTCTTTTGGAAACAGAGCCTTAAGCTGTAACCCGGGGTAGAGTGCTGTGGCACCACAGCTCACAGCAACCTCCAACTCCTGGGCTTAAGTGATTCTCTTGCCTCAGCCTCCCAAATAGCTGGAACTACAGGCACCCACCACAGTGCCCAGCTATTTTTTGGTTATAGTTGTAATTGCTGTTTGGTAGGCCCAGGCTGGATTCGAACCCACCAGCTCAAGTGCATGTGGCTTGCACCCTGGCCTCTTAAGCTATAGTCACTGAGCCTCACTGCTTTTTCTCTTTCATGAATCTGCTATCTGCTACCCTTTGTCATATCGTTTAATTTCAGTAGAATTTTGGAATTCTTTTGTTGGTAAGGAGGTATTGCTTATGTACTTTATTTCCTTCTGTTCTCTCGTAACCATTCAGCTCTTTGGTACAAGTCAGAAAATAGGTGCTGTGTATATGTATATTATGTAGGTGAATGACAAGGGAGAGAAAAGGTGAAGAACAAAGCTACTGCTGTTGGCTCACTAGATCAGCATCCAGTAAAATTGGTAACAGGTATCTAGGCATGGTTGCTTACACCTGTAATCCTCCCCTTTGGGAAGCTAAGGCAGGAGGATGGCTTGAGGCCAGGAGTATAAAACCAGACTGGGCAACATAGTGAGATCCTATTTCTAAAATGAAAGGGTGTGCTGTACTCCCAGCTAAGACTTGGGAGGCTGAGGCAGGAGGATGACTTGAGGCCAGGAGTTTAAAACCAGACTGGCAACATAGTGAGATCCCATTTCTAAAAAAATTTTTAAATTATCTGGGCATGAAAGGGTGTGCTGTACTCCCAGCTACTTGGGAGGCTAAGGCAGGAGGATCACTTGTGCCGAGGACTTTGAAGTTGCAGTTAGCCAAGATGGTGCCACTATACCCTAGCCTGCGCAACAGAGTGAGACTCACTCTCAAAAAAAGATTACAGGTTAAGATTTACTGCCCTAAAAGAGAATCATATGCTGAGTTGATAAGAAGTAAAACTGCACTGTGAAATGCATTGGGGCAAGATTGGTGGTACTTCTGGAGTATAAGGATAGTAAGTGTTCTGATCCTTTTTTTTTTTTTTTGAGACATAGTGTTAAGCTATCATCCTAGGTAGAGTGCCATGGCATTACAGCTCACAGCAACTTCAAACTCTTGGGCTTAAGCGATTCTCTTGCCAGATTCCCAAGTAGCTGGGATTACAGGCACGTACCACAACACCCGGCCATTTTTTTGTTGTTGTTGCAGTTGTCATTGTTTAGCTGGCCCAGGCTGAGTTTGAACCTGCCAGTCTTGATGCATGTGCCTGGTGCCATAACCAGTGCACTACAGGCTCCGAGCCCTACTGGAACTTTTTAAATTACTGCTATCCTCAACACACTGAGAGAATTTAGGTTACAAATTAAAAATATTAAAAGGAATATTTTATTTTTATTTATTTTTTGAGATAGAATTTCACTTTTTTGCCCTTGGCAGAGTGCAATGGTATCATAGCTCACAGCAGCCTCAGACTCTTGGGCTTAAGCACTCCTCTTGCCTCAACCTCCCAAGTAGCTGATGGGACTACAAGCACTAGTCATAACACCCGGCTATTAATTTTTAGAGATAGAGTCTCACTCTTGGCTCAGACTCATCTTGAACTCCTGAGCTCAAGCAGTCCGCCTGCCTTGGCCTCCCAGAGTTCTGGGATTACAATGTGTGAGCCACTGTACCTGGCCCTAAAAGGCATATTTTTAAAAGGAAATCATTTTTAAGAATCATCTGTAAACAAATTTAGTGTTTGTGGTCGTGTTACATGCAGAAGAAAAGCTTTCTGAATCTGGGTACCTTTTTACTCATCATTTGGGAAAGTCCAGAGATTTATTCTTGTCCGGACTTTGAGAGACAACTAACATTAACAGAAATATACATATAACTAAGATAGACCTCATAGGGACAATAAATTAACTGTAGTTTGGGGTTTTTTTTTTCCTTGAGACAGAGCCCCAGGCTAGAGTGCCATGATGTCAGACTTGCTTACAGCAATGTCAAACTCCTGGATTCAAGTGATCCTCCTGTGTCAGCCTCCCAAGTAGCTGGGACTGTAGCCACCTGCCACAACACCTTGCTGATTTTTCTATTTTTTGTAGACACTAGGTCTTGCTCCTGCTCAGTCTTGAAACCATAGTTCAAACATACAAGTGATCCTCCTGTGTCAGCCTCCCAAGTAGCTGGGACTGTAGGCACCTGCCACAACACCTTGCTGATTTTTCTATTTTTTGTAGACACTAGGTCTTGCTCCTGCTCAGTCTTGAAACCATAGTTCAAACATACAGCTGTCCCTCCAAATCTGTGCCTCTTGTATCTGTGGATTCAACCAACCATAGATTGAAAGTATTCAGAAAAGGGCAGTGCGTGTGGCTCAAAGGAGTAGGGCACCGGCCCCATATACTGCAGGTGGCCGGTTCAAACCTGGCCCCGGCCAAAAACTGCAAAAAAAAAATAAGGAAAGAAAGTATTTATAAAATAGCCCGGTGTTGTGTCGGATGCCTATAGTCCCAGCTACTGGGAGGCTGAGGCAAGAGAATCACTTAAGCCCAAGAGTTTGAGGTTGCTGTGAGCTGTGATCCCACAGCACTCTACCAAGGGCAACATAGTGAGACTCT